CCCTCCCCCCCCTCCTTTGGGGACAATCACTTCCTTATGAAACCTTTCACTCCCAGCCCCCTGAGCCCGGATTAAGTTCCCTGGCTGTAAATCCCATAGCACTCTTGCCTTTCTCTTTTGTCGCAGGCATCGCCCTGTTATTTACTTGGCTGATGACTTCCTGTCAGCAAGCTCCACGAGGGAAGGACCATGCTATTATCGTGGTGCAGGCCTACGTCTCCACATGTGAACAAACTCTGGGAAATACTTTAAAAGTTGGTGGAATCATAGGCACGCATTCACACTTTCTGAGTCACGCATTCAATATTTCCTGAGGCACCAGGATACAGTGGTTAACCAAAGAGATGGGGTCCCCACTAGACTAGCGGGGAAGAGGGTCATTCAAAGAAAATTAGGCACGACTGTGATGCATGGCAGGCATTATCATTCAGCGTGGCAGAAGGAAGTTCAGATAGATTTCTGCTTTCTATTTTTATTTCTTGAGGTGGAGATGCTCAAAGTCTTTTTCCTTCCAAGACTGTCTATCAAAGGAACCCTTTCCCACAAAGCTCCTCTTCCCAGCCTTCTCAGTTTAGACCTATGGATGCCTTCACAGCAAAACAAGTGATTCCCAGTCTCAAGAGAGCAACTCGCCTTTCTGACGGGGTGAAACCTAATTTTCTAGGTCCTGGGGCCGCTCCCTGAAACCCTCTTAGAGGAGTCTGGCTAGCTCCTGCGTAAGCCATTCAGTCATCCAACAAATATCTTCTGAGTCCCAACTGCGTGCCAGGCACGCTTGTAGGAGCAACAGATAAAGCAATGGACAAAACAGACCACATATCTGTCCTCATGGAACTAGAGTCTTCTGAGAGAGACAGACAATAATAAGAAAAATCAGTAAAACAGGAAAGAATATTTTAGGGAGATAAGTGGTTGAATAGAAAATAGAACGGAAGGGGAATATAAAGTGTGTATGTGTGTGTTTGTGGCCAGGAGGGTGGTGAGGTGGACAGTTTTGATAGGGTAGCCAGGGAAGATCTGTGAATGAAGATGGGAAGGAAGGGAACAGGTCAGGGGGACGCTGTAGGGAGGGCATTCCAGGGAGAGAGAAGCACAAATGCAAATCCCTGAGTCAGGAGAGAGCCTGCCACCTTCAAGGACCAACAGGGAGGCCTTGTGGCTGGAGCTCAATGCCCGACGGGGAGAAAGCTAGGAGATAAGAGTCGGAGAGGTAATGGGCGGTCACAGAGCCTTGTAGGTCACGGTGGCCTCTTCACGAAAGAGAGGGCAGCATCATGAAGTGCCTATAACTTCTCATCAAAGGCATCTCTGACAAAAACAATGCACCGCCCAACTCTGGATGTATAGAGGGATAAACAGGAAATAGAAGAATTGGTTATTTGGGGGTGCTTTCTAACTTACAGTATTTAAAAATGCAAGGGTATGGATATGAAATTTTGTAAATTTCATTCACATGCTTATGAATCAAATCACTGTTGAACAGAAGATTTGTTGCTGTGTAATTATTGCTTGTATGCATTTGAGAGAAAAATATACCCATACTTATGTTTTAAGAAAACAATGTTATCACCTAATAAGCAGGCAACCCATTATCCATACTTACTAGGTTCTATTGGAGTTCCACAGCCAGCACAGAAAAAATTTTGGGCTGCTACCATGAGATCCCTCCTGAGGGCAGAAATTGATAAGAGTTACATTTCAGAAAAGGCCAAGGGGGCATTTTTCACTGATTGGAAGAGAAACTGACATCATCATACTTTTCTTGGCATGGGGGCTTAATTTTAATCATTTTTCATTTGGGAAAGAAATAGAATTATTCAGTAGAGTTTTCTAGTCGAAATCTCTAGGTCTTTTAAAAGCCCCTGCTGCCACCAAAGCAAAAGTCCGTATCATAAGTAACTACTCCACCAAGGGGTCTTTAGAGACTTCTCACTGGGCATATACACAGAATTCTCTCTCCACAGAGAACTAGAGGCACGTAATACATGGGAGAAAGTTCAGGGGTACGAGGCACCAAGAGAAGATGCACTTGGGCAGTTTACAGATGGACCCAAAGACATTTAGATGAATAAGACGTAATAGAAGACAATGCTATCAAACATTTTTGGTGAAAGATCGTCTACTGAAGTGTTTGCTGTTGGACTGTTAGTGTCACAGTTCCACATGGGATTTGGAAATATGGAGAAAGTTGTAAAATTTTAATACAGTTTAGGGTCAGCAAAAGTGGCCGCGGTAAAAATATGTGGAACCCTACTCATGTGCCTTTGAGAGGACCCAGGGAAATCCCAGAGGAAAGACATCCCACACCAAGGGAAATGAACCCTCAGCAAGGCTTGGAGAGGGGGCTCTTCTGCCCAAGCAGACCCAGAGAACTTCCTGGCATTCCCTCGAAAGAAAAAAATAAACAGTCAGTCTATAAGGCACCTCCACAGGGAAGGCAATGACCCTTACCAGTCCCTTCATAACTCTGCAGTTTGTACACTGTATTAAATACCAACAAAGAGGAATGAAAAAAACTGTATTTCGTTACAATGTCCCTTTGTCTACAATGTCATCTACTCTCAGAATAAACACTACTTTAAATTATTATATATATTTATATACAATGTATTTATTTCCTTTTTTTTTGCACCATCTTAGTTTTTTTGTCTTTTAGGATTTTGTTACTTCATAGAGAACAAAGATATTTTTATTTGCATTCTGTTAGGTTTCTTAACTATAGGTGCGCTTTTCAAGATTAAATTTTCCTTTAAAAAAAGTAATTCATTGATTTTTACTTCACATTGCACTGGAAAATAGTGGGCTAGTCTTAAAATTATTGTATGTAATTTTTAAGGCTCACTATTGGCCACTTAATATGAGCCTATTTACTTTTCAATTGTTATGTAATGTTCATAATTAAGGACACATAGTTAAATTCTCAAGTTGTCAAAACTTACGGAACCCAAAAGCCCATGATAAACAGGGTGCCAAGGAAGCTAACTCAGAAAAATATGCCCAACTTTACTCTTCCTAAAACAAATTTTTCTTTGTCCCTTGGTATATTATTTTTTGCCTTCACCTATTTTCAGAACGAGTCAGGTGGGACCCATCACAACTTGTTTTAACTGGACTGGAGGGTCCAAGCAGCAACCCAGACTTACTTGAGTGGTGGATGAACATTAAATATGATTTGAAACCTAGGGGGCACCCAGTCTCCAGTCCCTCTGATCCTCGACTTCAATTTAATTTCCTGTACTACATCCATGCTGGATTCAAAGTCTTTCTGGACACATTCTTCATTTACAACCTGCATAAATAACCCAGAAGAGGATTTAGGAGCAACAAGCATATTTCAGGAACTGAAATAAAAGAACATTCAGGGTTTCCCTGGTGGCGCAGTGGTTGAGAGTCCGCCTGTCGATGCAGGGGACACGGGTTCGTGCTCCGGTCCAGGGAGATCCCACATGCCGCGGAGCGGCTGGGCCCGTGAGCCATGGCCGCTGAGCCTGCGCATCCGGAGCCTGTGCTCCGCAACGGGAGAGGCCGCAACAGTGAGAGGC